AACCGGGTTATTTTATTGTGAATACATGATGTAGAATGAATCTCCTACGCAACCCTTCTGTCGTTGAACAACGAGTCTTGTTATGCCAACACTTAGCATCCCATGCGCGGTTCACTGCAGGGGAGGACGAATGTTTGTCAAATCTATCCCCACAAAGTATCCCGAACATGGGCAAAAGCCACATCTACAGCAGCATGTGCGGTCCAATAGAAAGCCATGTGATCCACCACACAGTGGGACTGGACTGGACCATCGATGTGAGTCTGTGTGGGCTGGGTGCACGATCGGTCGTTGGCCAACATCATCCAGATACGCCATTCGAGGATAAGTGAGGGATATTTCAAATTTACAATCACTCAGCTCCGCCTATATCTTGAAAACATCTGCTTCGCACAACTCAGGGGTATGGGGACCATGACTCGGAGACTGTTATTCGTCGTACTGCTACTGTTGACAGGTGCGAATCATCCTGACACCACATTATTTTCGTTCCTTTTTCCCCATTTTCCACGTTGCTTTGTTTTTAGACAAACGCTTGCCCTCGTCAAACTGCTGTTTTTTTAGCGGCTCATGGTTGCTAGATTCAACGACCCACGACTATCTCTGAAGTAATTTGAGCTGGGACTTCAATTCCGACCGACCACTATGGCTCGACAGTGAACATGCGGATCATACTGCGCCCCCGTCGCCCCGTGCAGGCTACTCGATGGATTTTCTGGGCATAAACCACCCTGAAGTCGCCGTAAGTGCTTCCACGAAAGTCCTCCTTCCGCTACTCTTTTGTTTCTCGTTCCTTGCTACCAATCCTCGCTTCCGTTTTTCGCTGCGTGATCTGCAACCAACAACACCTCGCCTGAAAGCATTCTTCTCAGGATGAAGCCATACTGCTCCGGTGAAATGACCAGCTGCAGTACTGACTTCATGCGGTCCGCCAGCACCTTGGCAAAAACCTTGTACGAGAGGTTTAAAAGTGCAATCTGCCGATAGTTGCTTAACTGGTCATTTTCCCCTTTTTGTGGAGGAGAATCGTCACTACCTCCTTCACCTTCGTGAGAAGCGCCGCTGTTGTTGTGAAATTTTTAACCAAAGCCATGAAGCTCCCTCCAAAGAGGTCCCAGTTGGTTTCGAACAATTCCTTCGGCAGGCCATCATTACGCGGTGATTTGTTTTTCTCCATTTCCACAAAGGTTGATTTAACCTCCCCTTCTGTCCAGTTTGCTTCCAGCCCCCCCACTTCCCAAGAGGGCAGCCGTCTGCCAGGGGCCGAGGACCAGTCCTGGATTCCTGTCGTCTGTCCCTGCCAAAGATTTGTCAGAAGTAATCGGAAGTTGCGTCCAAAATCCGCTTCGAGTCCGCTACCGTGTTCCCCGCTACCTGAAGTTATTCGATCTGGGTGCGGCTTTTCCACGACTTGACCCTTCTTGAGAGCTGCTTCGAAGTGACTTCTCCCATAAGTTCCGCATCCAGTCCCGCTGTGAGTGCAGCCTGTCCATTCTTGTCGATTGATATTTTTTTAGCTATACTTCCTTCTCCTCCACTAACACCCTCCGCAAGTCACATCTCAGGTTACCCATCGCCACTGCCTTGATCAGGTGCACGAAGGTTACACGGACCCGTTTACTTTCCACTATCATGAAGGCTCTGAGGCTAGCGTTGACTTTGGAGATGAGCAGTTCAAAACTGCATCTGTCACAGTCAGTTTCTGTAATGTTTCCTTTATAATCCTTCTAACCCCTGGTCTGTTTAGCATCAATGCATGCATTCTCCAGATCCCCGGTCCTATCCTGACCTTGGCGTCTACCTTTAGGGCTACCTTAATCGCAAACAGGGTCAGAGATTTTATGTTCATAGAATATGCTGGCGCCTGATGAGAGGCATCATCAAGGAAATGAAGGAGGGATACGAATACTAAGGCACGACCTATCCTAGAGATGGCTTGCTGTGAAGGTGAGTAAACGTGTATTCGAGTCTCTGAGGGTAAAGGGTGCGGAAGGCATCTGACAATTGGAAGGCTCCGCATCAGGTCATCATTCTATCATTCTCGGTCGTGGAGCCACTACCAGAAGTTATGTCCAACTTTGGGCCTTCCACCATGTTCAAATCACCTATAAAAAGCAGGTGAGAGCTGGGTGCTATCTGGTATACCACGGGTCCTAGGACGTGGAGTACGAAAGGAGTTTGCTATGCGAGGTCTGCCGAAAAGTATGCTGCAAGGAGGGTGAGGCCCGGTGACCTCCGTACGGATGCTTATGCCAGAGGGGTGACAGGTGGTGTTAGTGAAACTAAGGGCGGGGTTCCGGCAGAGAACAGCTACCCCATGGGCTCTGTTCGTGGGTGATGCTGCGGCTACCGTTGTGAATTGTGCAGAAGACCAGTATGTGTGAGTACTACTAAGTCAAGTGTCTACTAGAACTAGGACGTTTGCTTCGTTTTTTAAACAGTCTGTTAGACGCTGTTGCTTTATGCTGTCGCAGAGGCCGTTGACGTAAGGCATGCATATGTGAGGAGGTTTTTCTCCTTTACTCATTTAACCACTGACTGGCAGCCCTTTTGCATCCACAGGCTAAGAAATGCGACTATATTGACAATACTAGCTACTGAGCACCATCTTGATGCTGTCCCGAACAGGTTGCTGAGCTGCTGCTGTGTCAGATCCTGTACTATTTCTTGATGCTTTTGAGGCCTGTCCTCTCAAGTGAGCTTTTCGTAGCAGAACCCCGCTTCTTCAGGTGCATAAGGTGGTTGACGGATGTCACATATTCACATGTTGAACCATTTCCCGTGTGCTTTCTTGCAGCCTGCTTACGTGCAGAGCTATTCCTCTTTGCTGCTGCCGGTCGAGATGAGAGCCAGGGATGGGTTGCGGAGAAGGGGGGGACTACTGAGTAAGCTTTCAGTGATGCAGCTGCGAGGATCAAGAAGCGTAGTAAGTTGAAGAAAATGTAAGAGTTCGAAAGCAATATCAATTAATCTGATGTCATTACCGGTAAGTCTGTGCACCTTCCCCTGTGACAAATTTCATTTTCAAACTTTATGCTGTCACTCAACGGTGAAAGCATCATGATACTTATCATTGTGCTGAACCACCCCAGAGCGAGCAGGATAGTGCAGGATAATGAACGAGGATCAACTTCGCGTAGTCGGCTAGGTTTGATACAGCGTGGATCCAGCGGTGGAGATCGCCCGGGTGAGCATAGACCAGGCCTTTGACAACATCTGTGCCAGCTCCGGTCAGGGGGTGGAGCACGCGGTGGAAACAGGAGCTCTGCAGGAAAGCCGGACGCTGACAGTTCTTCAGATGGTAGGTAGACAGTCGTTGGTGATCATGGTCAGCTCCACGGTTGCAGAGACTCCCTCGAGTACGACTTCAATTGCGTATGGGTTAAGCGCCTTTTCTCGCGCAAATGTGAGGTTTTCCGTGTGTTGCCAATGAAGCTTAACCAGATTGCGGTTCAGCCATTGATGCACCACCTCTTTTCTTTTGACATGTTCCGTGTCAGCTTCCGGGACGAGCGAGATTTGCAGACAGGAGTAATGGGTCTTGGCGATGTACGCTGACTACAGCTCCTGGAACTGCACCGTCTGTCAGAGGTCCACTGGTGATCCCCGATTGATCCTAGGGAAGGGTTACAGGCATGTTGGCCTGGGGGGTTATGGGCGCACTGACCCGCTACTTAACAAGCCCTTTTATCCCAATGGTCTAGTGGTTGGGATTCTGACATGGTATCAGAGCGAAGGTCTCGGGTTCGAATCCCAGTGTGTGCACTTCGGGCATCCCAGTGCGGGGGGGTGTCAGAGGTCCACTGGTGATCCCCGATTGATCCTAGGGAAGGGTTACAGGCATGTTGGCCTGGGGGGTTATGGGCGCACTGACCCGCTACTTAACAAGCCCTTTTATCCCAATGGTCTAGTGGTTGGGATTCTGACACCGTCGTCAGCACGTCTTCTGATAACTCTGTGTACCAACCACGTTTCATTAGGATTTTTTTATCGCATGAATGACACATGCAACTTCCAGAGCAAGGATAAAAGGCCGCAGCAAGACGATCGTGGTACGCAGCTGGCGAGCAGCTTCCAGGTCAAGATCAACCAACATCTCGTCGTCTGAGTCGTCGTCGATGAAACCGTCATCATCGATCGGAGTCATTGTTGGTGTTGCCTTGTCATTTACGGATAACCCGGATCCTCCAGGTGACGCCATTGGTGAGCGCGTCAGCAGGAAGCTTGGAGCACTGACCCTTAGGATGAGTCATCGTGCAATGATGAGATCCAGGCAAGGTGAAAAAGAACAAGCCACAGCGAGTGGCTGATGAATCTTGTAATGCTGATGTCTGAGCACAGCCTTGTTAAGTATCTGGTTGTTGGTATTATTCCCGAGACGCTCTGGAGTTGGTGAGAGTGCTAGAGGAAGAAACCTTGGGAGGACATCGTGGAATAGTCGAAATAAACACATTGTTGCGTGTCGTTAAGAAAACTGTTGTTGGATCTTGAGCTTTAATAAAACGGAACCTTGATAATGGCTGACAAGGACCAGAGTTTTACTAGCAACCGTGTCGTCGCGTAAGAGGTTTTCCCTTAGAAGAGAAATAAGGGAATATATTAGTTTCACTAGCGGCTTCACAACGTCAGTAGTCCAGTGGTTAGGATATTTGCCTTCCAAGGAAAAGATCCGGGTTCGATTCCCGGCTGACGTTCAAAAGGTGTCCTTAATTTCGTATAATCAGCACAAGAATCAAAATTTTGCATATCTGCATGTGTGGGTCTAGGGCGTGTTCCTATGCTTCATATCAGGCAAACCCTTGGGCAGAGTGATCTGTAGAAGTTGACATGTCAGCCTCAATGTGGGCGTCAGATCAGATGTCTTGAGATGCTTGGGTGCCTCGTTAATTGCCTGTATTACTATGTTAGCCCAGTATAAGAACACACAAAGCACACCAATATCCACGCACGTGTTTGCTTGCACATGGCAGCCACAGAAGGCTGGTGAGCAAGCCTTCTCCTCACCATGTCACCTTGCCCTCTGCACTTTCCTTCTTCTCTTCTGCCTCGGAATCAGCCTTTTCAGCCTCTTCTCCCTCTGAGATCCCGTCACCCACCACTCCCTCCTCACGCTCAACCTCACTACTCCGCCGCCCACCCTCCACACCGCCCTTGTCGCCCAGCCCCTCCACGCCCTCAGCGATCGACGCCACTCCGGGTTTCCTCGCAGGGCGTCTCAGCCGGCCCTGCTCGTCGCGGAACCCGCCTCCCTGCGGGCGGCGCATGCCGCCCGAGATCACAAACGGCGTCATCGGCGCGCCGTCCTCGGGCGACTCCGGCGCTCCGCCGCCCATGCCGCCCACCGCATCCCCTCCGATCTGCAGCGACGGCTTGAACGGCCGGCGCGGCCCTGCCGCCCCGAGGGCAGGTGCAGGGGGAGGTGCGTTGAGGGTGGAGGAGGCGCTGCCCACGGGGGCAATGACGACGGTGGCGGGGAAGGTGGCGCCTGGGGCAGGTGCTGCTGTGGCCGCCGCAGGTGCCGTGGCGGTGGGCGGCGAGGCAGGGGAGATGCGTGGCACGCGGAGCACGGAGGGGTGGGAGATGGAGAGGGCGGGGCGCGGGGCGGCACGGATGTCAGCGAGCAGGGCGTCGAGCTCCACCCCGCGCACCCTCAGTGCGTTCAGCCGTGCCGTGTCCTCGCTGGGGGGGCACGCGGGGACGGGAATGGCAGAAGCGGGGAGTGAGGGGGCAGCGGTTGGTGTGTGAGTGGTGAGGGTGGGGCGACTTGTAGCTCTCATAGCGAATGTGAGGGCATTGCTGTGGAGGTGACGAGAGGTATGCTCACAGAGGGAAGGAAAGTAGGGGAGGTAGTGAAAGGGGAGTTGGGAGGCGAGACGTGTGGGAGCAGGGCAATGAATGAAGCAGTCGTGTGGTGCAGAGCTGGCTTAGATTAGATGGATGGGGAGCAAAATAGTCGTGCTCAAGACATCAAGGCAAGAGAGCCCCCTGAGTGACTCAACGACAGAGGACTTCAGGGTATTCAGGGGTGAGTGGCGTGAGGCAAGGCGAGTGCAAGGCATGGCAGGGGGCTGGGGCATGGAGTGATGAGAAGAGTTACAGGGGAGGAAGGTGAAAGGGTAGATGGGATGGAGATGAGATGTGGGGGAGGAGCAGGATGAACCTCAGATCAATGAAGCAGCTGGCTAAGATAATATAGCATCTGTCACGTTGCGTGAAACGGTGAAGATTAAAAAAATCAAATAATCCCCAGGGAAGAACCCCTTAGTATGCAAACGAACAGTTATGAAGATTTGGCGTGTTCAGAGGCGCAGCAAGTGCAAGGCACGGCAGGGGGGGGGCGGTCAATGGGGGGTGGGCGTACGGGGAGGGCGAGGCGAGGGAGTCCATCCAGGCGCGCACGTCCTTGAGCGCCAGCTCCACCTCCCCCATGCACCGCTTCACCTGGTCGCGTCACAGCGGGGGGAAGGGGGGGGGGTACACGATTGAGCAGCCGTGGGAAGCACCAGCAGGAAGAGGAGGGGAGGTGAGAGCGGGGAGATGGACGCTTGCACATGGACGAAGGGACGGGCAGTTGCAGCATGGGAGGCGAGGCATGGGTACATGCTGACCATGCATGGGTACATGCTGGCCAATAAGCATGCAATGAAGGCACGTGCGGCCGCAGAGCTGCCCCATCTTTACGTGCGCTGCCCATCTCAACGTGCTTGCCATAGCAGTGCCGCCACGTGCATGCCTGCGATGGCACGACCCGCCCACCTGGATGTCAGCGGCAATGAAGCGCTCCTCCCAGTGCAGATGGCGCAGAGAGATGTCCGCCACCACCGCGTCCATGCCCTCCAACACCATGCCCGCCCTGCCGTGCCGGTGGGCATGGGCACGGGGAGAGAAAAACACGTTTAGCTCAGTTGCATCACCTGCCACCATAACTCGCACCTCGCAAGAATGTCGGCCCAGACATTTCAAGCCTTGTTGCGGTGCCGGCAAGCGTGCTCGGCCCGTTGCGCAAACGTGTGCTTCACGATGGACTCCACCCCTCCCTAACCCCGGCTCGACATGGAATGGAGCACCGTGCCTCATTCACATACTCATGTGAAGCATTGCTGAGCAATTACAAGCTGCTTCCTTCTCATACTTGGCGGAACCCTGAATCACCTGATTCAATAATGGTAAAAAGAAAAGGAACAGCTGGGCTTGGCCCGGCACGGACCGGGTTGTGAGAGGCTGGCCTGCCCTTTTGGGCACGCGCTGCACCGACCATCCCAGGAATGAGAAGAGCAATAGGCGAGAGGCAGTGAGAGCATGAGCAGGAGCAGCGACGGCATTGTGCATGGCGCTCACCTCTTCTCATGGATGCCCTCTAGTGTGCCCACCACTGCCTTGGCCTTGGCCCAGAACGACTCCAGCTGGGCCTGCCAGGGGCCACAGCAAGACGGACGCACATGGGCGGGGCGCAAGGAGGCATGCACGGAAGGAGCAGTGTGTTGGGGCGAAAAGAAACAAGGGCCGATCCGGTGTGGAGAGGCATGGTTGCAAGTGAATAAGGGAGCCTGCACTGCAGTCACTGATGCATACAGCACATGTATCGGCAATGCATGCATCACGCACTACCGCCCACCTGACAGCCACCCACCTGACGGCCGCCCACCTGACAGCCGCCCACCTGACGGCCGCCCACCTGAGCAGCCTCCTACCTGACAGAGGTGCAGATGCGATGTGGCAGCAGCAAAGAGTCGGTCCCTGCGAGCTGATGCCTCCTCCCTGTGGGCGGGCAGGCATGCATGGTGGCAGGGAGAGTCCAGGATCAACGAATGTGGGAAGTGACACGTGGCATGCATGTGAGAAAGGCACATGGCATGGTGGAGCAATCGAGACATTGACCCTTGCTTGAAACACCCCTGCACCCGTCCACCCAGCAGGGCACGCACTTGAGGCGTTTCTCCTGAGCCTCCAGGGCGGCGGACTGCAGCTGCCACGTGCGCTGCAGGAACTTGCGCCACTCCTCCAGCGCCCTCCCGTCTCCCTCATGCTCCTCCATTGATGCCTTCAGCCGCGCCTCCTGCCATGCCATCATGCCATGCCATGCCATCATGCCATGCCATGCCATGCCATCATGCCATGCCATGCCATGCCATGCCATCATGCCATGCCATCATGCCATGCCATCATGCCATGCCATGCCATGCCATGCCATCATGCCATGCCATGCCATCATGCCATGCCATGCCATGCCATGCCATGCCATCATGCCATGCCATCATGCCATGCCATGCCATCATGCCATGCCATGCCATGCCATCATGCCATGTCATCATGCCATGCCATGCCATGCCATGCCATCATGCCATGCCATCATGCCATGCCATGCCATGCCGCCCCGCACCCCACCGCACAGGATGGGGTGGACGACACAAAGGACGAGAATTGAGAAATGAGAGGCGAGCGAAGGGAGACGAGCGATGCTACTAGAAGAGAGACGAGCAAAGAAAGGTGAGCGCCGAATGATGAAAGGCGTCAAGTGGGTGCAAGGTGGTTGCTGTTACTACGACTTCGAGATTCACTGCACTACCTGTGCAAGAGCGGTGGCAATCGTGTTACCCGCACTCTGAGGTGGTTACCACGTTACCTGCGCTGCAAGGTGGGTGACGATGCTGGTGCTGGCCATGCTGAACTGCTCCTTTTCCTCGCGCACCTTGCCTTGCTTCTTGCTCAGACTGTCTATCGCACTCTGCACCTGTTGGTCGTGATAGGAGGCAACAGCAGCGACAGGTGCAGCAAGAGGCGATGGGGTGAAGCTTCACTATTGCACCACTCTGCTTCACTATTGCACCACTCTGCTTCTCTTCTTCACTAATGCACCACTCTGCTTCACTGATGCACCACTCTGCTTCACTAATGCACCACTCTGCTTAACTACTCACCACTCTGCTTCACTAATGCACCACTCTGCTTCACTAATGCACCACTCTGCTTCACTAGTGCACCACTCTGCTTCACTAATGCACCACTCTGCTTAACTAATCACCACTCTGCTTCACTAATGCACCACTCTGCTTCACTAATGCACCACTCTGCTTCACTAAAGCACCACTCTGCTTCACTAATGCACCACTCTGCTTCACTGATGCACCACTCTGCTTCACTAATGCACCACTCTGCTTAACTACTCACCACTCTGCTTCACTAATGCACCACTCTGCTTCACTAGTGCACCACTCTGCTTCACTAATGCACCACTCTGCTTAACTAATCACCACTCTGCTTCACTAATGCACCACTCTGCTTCACTAATGCACCACTCTGCTTCACTGATGCACCACTCTGCTTCACTAATGCACCACTCTGCTTAACTACTCACCACTCTGCTTCACTAATGCACCACTCTGCTTCACTAATGCACCACTCTGCTTCACTAGTGCACCACTCTGCTTCACTAATGCACCACTCTGCTTAACTACTCACCACTCTGCTTCACTAATGCACCACTCTGCTTCACTAATGCACCACTCTGCTTCACTAGTGCACCACTCTGCTTCACTAATGCACCACTCTGCTTAACTAATCACCACTCTGCTTCACTATTGCACCACTCTGCACCTGTCCCTGGCTGCCCCTCTGTCTGGACTCCTCCACTGTCCCTCACCTTGCTCAGCTCCTCCTCAAGTTCCGCCTTCCTCGCCTGCAGAGCAGCCATTTCCCGGTCCACCACCTGCCGTGCCACACGCCCGCACAGGCACACAGGGGGAGCACAAGGCTTGCATTTGGGCTCACGGGCGGGTGAAACACGGGGGGCATGGAGAGGCGTGGCAGGGGGTGAAACGCGAGGCACGGAGGGTGTAAGGCAAAGAGAGTGAGAGGCAGGGAGAGGAGTGAGGAGGGTGGAAGGCAAGGAGAGTGAGAAGCAGGGAGAGGAGTGAAGAGGGTGGAAGGCACAAGGGCACGTGAGAAAGAGGCTGATGGGGCTGCACTCGGAGCATGGAGCTTGGAGGTCAGGGAGGGGGGAGGTGACGGAGAGAGGGGGTCCATATGGAGTGCGGGGTCTCACGGAGTGCGGGGTCTCACGGAGTGCGGGGTCTCACGGAGTGCGGGGTCTCACGGAGTGCGGGGTCTCACGGAGTGCGGGGTCTCACGGAGTGCGGGGTCTCACGGAGTGCGGGGTCTCACGGAGTGCGGGGTCTCACGGAGTGCGGGGTCTCACGGAGTGCGGGGTCTCACGGAGTGCGGGGTCTCACGGAGTGCGGGGTCTCACGGAGTGCGGGGTCTCACGGAGTGCGGGGTCTCACGGAGTGGGAGTCAGCAGCCTCTTGGGCCTTGGCGGTGCGGTAGGCGAGGGCGTCCGCCTTCTGCTGGGTGCACTCCGCCATCTGTGCCCTCAGCGCCACCACCCCCTCGCCCACCTCTGCCGCCAGTGATGTCACCCGCTCCACCTGCCATGCCACGCCATGCCATGCCAGGCCATGGCATCAGTGGGGGGTGAAGGAGGGGGGTGTTTGAGATGCGTCAAGACATTGGACGGCCCGTTTATCTCTCCACCCTTATCAACTTACCTCATCTCTGCACCCGTGACCTCCCTCCCTGTGCTTCATGTCGTAGTCTCTTTGCGCTGCTGGGCCATGTTTGCGCTGCTGGGCCATGTTTGTGCTCATGGGCCATGTTTGTGCTCATGGGCCATGTTTGTGCTCATGGGCCATGTTTGTGCTCATGGGCCATGTTTGTGCTCATGGGCCATGTTTGTGCTCATGGGCCATGTTTGTGCTCATGGGCTTTTCTCAGCCGGAGTCTCTTTTGCTCCGCCTCCCTCACTCTGCAACCCCTTTCTTGCTCCACTAAGTGCCTTGTGAGCATCTTGGAATATTCTCTCCACTTTAACTTTCGACTGGATTGTTCTACTTTCTTTGCTCGCCCAGCCCCCACAGCATGCGCTGCCCACCTTGAGAGCACGGTCGCCCGGCGTGTCCCCCTGCTGCAGCAGCGCCTCTCTACGCCTCTCCAGAGCCACCAGGCGCAGAGCAGCACGCAGCACCTCGCGGCTGCGGGCGGCCTGCACCTCCTGCTGCTGCACCGCCAGCACCTCGTCCACCGCCCTCTCCGCCTCCTCCACCCGCCCCAACGCCGCCTCCCCCTCTGCCCTCTCCGCCTCCCCCGCCCCTCCCTCGCCCTCTGCCTGCTCTGCCCCTTCCACCCCCACCTCCTCACCCTTTCCTTTCCCCTGCGCGCCACCGCCCTTGCCCCCGTCACCATCATCCTCCGCGGCGTGCAGGGCGGAGGAGGCGTGCACAGCAGCCAGCCCCTGCGCCACGGCGTGCTCCAGGCGCCGTGCCTCGGCGTCCAGGCGCTCCGCCTCGGGGCTCACCTTCAGCCCCGTCATCGCCTCCGCCACAAACCGCTCCAACTCGTCGCCCGACAGCTGCTCGCGGGCGCACAGGACAAAGGGAAGGGGGGGAGGGAGAGGTGGGTTGGTGAAGGGACATGGGTTCAGGGTTGGAGAGGCAAAGCACAGTAGATCACTCTTAAAACAAGCAGTGTGGCCTTGTTTCAAGGTGACAGGGTGCTCGAGGCACTAGAGGCGGTGAGAGGGCTCTGAATGCACCTCTTGCTGCACACAGCGATGCAGTGGCAGCATGCCGAGGGGAGGGGAGGGGAAAGGAGGGGAGGGGAGAGGAGCGGATGGGCGGGGAGCGGAGGGGAGGTGGGCGGGGAGGGGAGGGGGGAGGGGAGGGGAGTGGGGAGGGGAGGGGGGAGGGGAGGGGAGGAGAGGAGAGGGGAGGGGAGGGGAGGAGAGGGGAGGGGAGGGGAGGGGAGGGGAGGGGAGGGGAGGGGAGGGGGGGGGGAGGGGAGGGGAGGGGAGGGGAGGGGGGGGGGCGATCACCTTGACTTCGGCATAGGACTCGGCGGAGTTGGCGAGCGAGTGCAGCGTGGCCAGCAGCGCGTCCTGGTCCTCGTGGCCCAGCGATAGACACAACCTGGCGGCACAGGAGGGGGTGGAAGTGGTGGCAATGAATGGCGACACCCCTTCCCCTCTCTCCTTCCGCTGCTCGCCTTGCTCCTTGCATTGATTAGCGATGTGTGTGTTGATTGTTTGGGCAGAGAAAGGTGGAAGGAGGGGTTGAAAGAGCGAGGGAGGGTGAATGAGGGAGGGAGGGTGAATGAGCGAGGGAGGGTGAAAGAGCGAGGGAGGGTGAATGAGCGAGGGAGGGTGAAAGAGCGAGGGAGGGTGAAAGAGCGAGGGAGGGTGAATGAGCGAGGGAGGGTGAATGAGCGAGGGAGGGTGAATGAGCGAGGGAGGGTGAATGAGCGAGGGAGGGTGAATGCGCGAGGGAGGGTGAATGAGCGAGGGAGGGCACCTGAAGAGGTTTCTGAGCAGCCAGAACTCCTCGTCATCCCCGGGGTCCATCACCTGCCATGCCATGCACGGTGGCACATGGGCGCACATGGGGCATGAAGACACACGGGGGCATGAAGACACACGGGGGCATGAAGACACATGGGGGCATGAAGACACATGGGATGGGGGCGTGAAGACACATGGGAGCGCATGAGGGTGCATGGATGGAGGCCCACATGGACATGCGTGGATGGCCCACATGGTCCCCATGGTGGTACACACGCACAACCATCTGCTCCATCAACCACTGTCTCTCTACCGCATTCGACCCATTCAGCTCAAGGCGACGTGATAAAAGTGTACCTTTGAGACGTCTCAAAACTACACTTATATCACGTGGCGGTGGGCGAACCACGTCCAGCCAAGCGCAGTTGGACGGGCACCCGCACACTCCAGTAGAACGGGTCTGCATCGATGGCCCGCACCTTGTTATTGGGACCACCACCTCCAACTTCCCTCCCACAGCTTTCCTAGAAGCCCTCAACCTCACCCCCTGCTTTCCCATGGTGGAGTATCCACTTACTTAACAGTGCATTAGTGGGTGCTGCTGTAAGACAGACTTTGAGTGTAAAATGCGTGAGTATTATTGAATCGTAGAACCTTAAGAGGACCGAACCGCTTCTGGTGCAGTCCAACAGTCACAGTGGGGTCAAGCAAATGGGAGTGGCATCCCCAGGACGGTTCTACCAAACCACATTGTTATTATCTTGCCTGCTGACATGGCTAGCGACGCCACCATGTTCTCCAGCGCCTGGCTGTGCAGAAAGACTTGAGTTGACTCGCACTCACCAGCGACGCCACCATGTTCTCCAGCGCCTGGCTGTGCAGAAAGACTTGAGTTGACTCGCACTCACCAGCGACGCCACCATGTTCTCCAGCGCCTGGCTGTGCAGAAAGACTTGAGTTGACTCGCACTCACCAGCGACGCCACCATGTTCTCCAGCGCCTGGCTGTGCAGAAAGACTTGAGTTGACTCGCACTCACCAGCGATGCCACCATGTTCTCCAGCGCCTGGCTGTGCAGAAAGACTTGAGTTGACTCGCACTCACCAGCGACGCCACCATGTTCTCCAGCGCCTGGCTGTGCAGAAAGACGTCGCGGAAGGTGAGTGGCTGGTGCGGCGCGTTGGGGTCGTGGAACAGCACCTGTGGGCCGGGGGGGGAGAGAGGACGTGCAGGCAGGGGGGACGCAGGGTTGAGGGGATGTTGGTGGACGGCACATTGCATGGGTGGATGGATGGCAGGCAGCAGGGTGGATGGTATGTGAGCCTGCTACTTGCTGTTTCACCCACCTCACCGTGCCATGCCTTCACAATCACCCACCACACCCGTGCCATCTCACTCACCCACCACACCCGTGCCATCTCACTCACCCACCACACCCGTGCCATCTCACTCACCCACCACACCCGTGCCATCTCACTCACCCACCACACCCGTGCCATCTCACTCACCCGAGACACCTTGCTGTGCGGGGGGGCGCTGGGCGGGGCAGGGAGGCGCCGCGGAGACGCTGAGGGCGGCGCCAAGCCCTCCCTCACGCCGCTGCCACTCGTGCTATCGCTCTCGCCCGCGCCCTTACCCGCGCCCTCACCACCTCCCTCTTCCGCGCCCTCCCCCGCCTGCCCTCCGCCCCCATCTGCCTCCGCCGCCCGTTGCCCCGCTGCCTCCCCCGCCCCGCCCTCCGCTGAGTCATTCTTCCCGCTACCCCCACCACCATCGCTCCCCCCACCCGCCGCCGCGCTCCCCCCAAGCGCGAGCCCCATCCCCAGCTGCTGCAGCGCCGCCAGCTCCTTCTCTCCGCGCTCCGCCTGCTCTCTCTCCGCGCTGATTTCCGCCAGCGCGCCCAGCCAGCGCGCAAGCGCCTCTTTGCGCTCCGCCCCGCGCGCCAGCATCGCCACCTCCTCGATGCGCCGCACGGCGTGGCGGAAGCTGTTGTGCTGCCGCGCCGACGCGCCGCCCTGCGCGGGGGGTGGGAAGGTGGAGACGCGATTAATGAGACCGTGAGATAGCCAAAGGCACATGCTGAGCACTCAAACGCGATGGAGAGTGAAGGCATGCAGCGGCGGCAAAAGCGTAGCGCGGGCGGGCGGTGGAAGGGACGCGCAAGGAAATGACGCGGGGGGCGCTCGCACAGCGTGGCGGCGTCGGCGGCGGCGGCGGCGGTGGCGGGGAGACGCACCACGGCGTGTTCGGCGTGCTCGTAGACCATCTTGGCGCCCTGCTCCACGGCGTCGCCCGCCAGCAGCACGGCGTCATTGGCGCGCTGCACCACCGACGACGCGAACGAGCTCGCGCGCTCGAACCCCGACCCCACCGCCTTGCCGCTCGCATTGGCGGCCTCCGCGCCTATGCTGAGCGCGGAGCGGAACCACGACATGGCGGCGCGGCGGCGGACTGGGGGGCTCAGGCCCTACGGTGGGGAGCGATGATGGCCTACGGGGTGGGGTAAGGGAGCACGGGAGCTTGAATGGCGGCCGGCGAGTGTGGCGACGAACGTGCGCGGAGGGACGCCGAGAGGAGGCACGCGGAGCGACAGTTCCGTCGAAAGCCGTGAGACTTTTAGTAGGGAGCTCGGAGAAACGCGCGATGGCACATCTGAGAGGTGAGAGACTATCTATTCGAGGCCCTGCGGAACGAAGTAGGATGCGAGGTGCTTCTGATGGGTGAAATGCGTTCCAGTGCCGCTGGTAGAATGCGCCTCAATTCTCAAGATTTCACCCGCGGTAGGGCCAGAAGGTGGGTGGGGTGGGGAATGAAGGGCGAGTAGCAACATAGGGAGGGGCCGTGCGAGCAAGCTTCAGAAATCAACAGAAATCAGCTGACCCACCCAATCCAATAGCATCTGCGGCACACCCCACGGTTTTCTTTTAACGAGGATGGTTGTCCAGATGCACACACGACAAACTCATATTCCAGCGACCCTCAAAACGAAATCCTGAGTAAGAAAAAAATAAGATTCCAGCGTACATCACACTAGACTATGTACATCACGTTCACGTACTCCAGCATTCTTCGCCTGTTGCAGATATAACTGAAGGATCGTAGTGGATAGGATAAAGTTGCCAAGTGTAAAGAGAACTTGTGAAGTCTCAGTAATGACCTTGTTAATTAATTGAAAGAGAACAAGATGATTATAAGATAGGAGTACAAGGGTATAAATAGCATTCCTAGCTAGCCATGTACTCTGAGGGGTACATTCCCTTATTAACTGAATTGCATTGCTACAGTAACCCACGACTATTGCCATTCTAGACAGTTACCATGTTGCACTTCGCAACTGCCTCGTGCGGTTACTGGGCAGTCAAGGGTCACGACTGTTGACTGTCCTCGACCGTTGACCTTCGGGTGACCCTTGGACTTCCGCGTGCTCTATATGAGCTATTGCGGTACTAGTACAGTCGCACACTTCGTTATGGAGTTACGCGAGAGTGGAAACCTTCGGGAATGTTTATAATAACCTTTCGGTTATTCCAACACTCCCCTTCATTCCTGAAGGTGGGCCACGTGGGACTTCTTGTCAGAACACGCTCTTAACTCTTGACTTAGTAACTTAGGGTTTACCTAGGAAGCGTGAGTGTCGAGAGTGAGCATGGCAAGAGAATTGGGCAAAGAGGGGATTCACTAAGGAATGTTTACAAGATATAGGATAGGGGAGAGGATAGGGTACAACACCAGCAGTTGAACCTAATAACTAACTAATACACTAGCAAGCTGTAGGCAGTTAGGATATGCAATATAATTCAACACACCCCCGTAACTGCCTACGGCTATAGCTAGTGGTGTCTGGCACCAGGTCGCCTGGAGAGCGGTTGCTGTAGCTGGGATAGGCACAGAAACAGCGGTGGCTGAGCGGCAGCACCTGTGAACGCCAGAACGGAGGAGGGCGCGGAGAGCGCGGAGGAGGGCTGGGATAGCCGGAGGGCGAAGGATGCTGGTCGCTCGCCATCTACGAGCAAACACAACTGTTGGTGAGGAGGAGGAAGCTGGTGGTGGTGCACAGGAGGAGAGCAGAGGAGATGCGGCTGGAGAGGAGAGAGGAGGAGGAGATGCGGCTATAGGAGAGGAGACTGGAGGAGGAGATGCGGCAGAAGGAGAGGAGAGGAGAGAGGAGGAGATGCGGCTGGAGGAGAAGAGGAGAGGAGAGGAGAGGAGAGGAGAAGAGGAGGAGGAGAGGAGAGGAGAGGAGAGGAGAGGAGAGGAGGTGGCTGGCACGGCAGAAGCTTTCCCGCCACCCCCTCATCCCCCTCCCCCCCATGCGCTGGCGCTGGGCGCTGGCGTCGCGCTGGCGCTGGCGCCCGCCGTTGGCGCTTGCGCTAGCGCCCGCCGTCGGCGCTGGCGTCCGCGCTGGCGCTTGCGACCGCCGTTGGCGCTGGCGGTGGCGCCCGCCGTTGGCGCTGGCGGTGGCGCCCGCCGTTGGCGCTTGCGCTGGCGCCCGCCGTCGCCTCGCTGGCACGCTCGCCACTGGCAGAGCGCGACGGGGCAGGCGAAAGGGGGCAGCGCGACGGGTGCTGCAAAAGCAGCGGAGTTCGAGCCAGCAGCGGATTTCGCGCTACTAGCAGTAGCAGCCATGCCAGCAGCACAATAAGTCGCCATGGCAGATCGCGGGTTTGGTGGGCCCATGAAAACGAGGTCCTAGGAGGGACCACGCTCTGATACCATGTCAGAACACGCTCTTAACTCTTGACTTAGTAACTTAGGGTATACCTAGGAAGCGTGAGTGTCGAGAGTGAGCATGGCAAGAGAATTGGGCAAAGAGGGGATTCACTAAGGAATGTTTACAAGATATAGGATAGGGGAGAGGATAGGGTACACCACCAGCAGTTGAACCTAATAACTAACTAATACACTAGCAAGCTGTAGGCAGTTAGGATATGCAATATAATTCAACACTTCTTGGTGATCCCGCAAAGGTTGGCGCAGTGCTGGAACTGTTGACGTGGCAGTTTCTTTGTCGGAAAGTCGGCTGCCATGTCGCCAGTTGGGCAGTACGTGAGCTTGACCTTGCCCTTGTCGATTTCGTCCTTGACGAAGAAGTAGTGAAGGGCGATGTGTTTCGTGCGGTTCACGAAGCCGGGCTTGTTTGCGATCTTGATCGCGCTTTGGTTGTCGCAGAGTAACGTGAAGTGCCCGTTCATCGTCACTTTCGCTTCCTGCAGAAGTTCCATCAGGTACAGTCCTTCGCGAACAGCTGCGCTGGCGACGATGAATTCTGCTTCGGCTGACGAAAGAGCGATGAGTTCCTGCTTCTGAGAGTTCCACGAGATGAGTCCAGCAGGTTGAAGTTGAAAAATGAATCCTGTGCGGGAGCGTCTGTTGTCAACATCTCTAGCATGGTCAGCGTCTACGTAGCCGTGCAGCTGCAGGGTGGCCGTTAAGTTAGCTTCGTAGGTGAGGCCGACGTCGGGAGTAGAGATGAAGTATTGGAGTGCGCGGCGCAGATCCTGTAGATTCTCCCCTTCAGGTCGCTTCATGTATTGAGCGAGCTGGCTTGCGACATATGAGAGATCGGGCCGGCACGTGACGGCGGCAAACAGAAGGCACCCGAGCTGCTGCTGATAGAGGCGATGATCCTCAAGAGAGAGAGGCGTGGTGTCCGGTTCGCGGTTAGGAGGAGGAGTGCGAAACGGGGTGGAGAGGTTGATTGGTGCGATGCCGAATTTCTTTGCGAGTGTCTCGGCGTACTTGGCGGCGGAGAGAAGAATGGAGGAGGCAGACTGGGTGATGTTGAGTCCCAGGAATTGAGTGACATTGTGGTTGACGGTGACTTCCAGCTGCTCCTTGATGTCTGCCTCGAATTGGTCCAGCAGCGCCGTGTCGTCGCCGGTGTAGAGGAGGTCGTCGACGTAGGCGACGAGGAGAATGAATTTGCCGCGCGACTCCTTCCTGTACATTCCGAGGTCGTGGGGCAGCTGTTGGAAGCCGAGGTTTGTTAGCATCGTGTGGAGGTACTGCTGCCACAGGCGAGGTGCTTGCTTAATCCCGTAAAGAGATTTCTGGAGCAGGCAGACGGCGCCGTCGTTCTCTTCGAAGGCATGCGGCTGCTCGACGAAGATGATTGCGTCGACCGGAGCGTACAAGAATGCGCTGCCAACGTCGATTTGACGGAGTGGGCGCTGCTTGACGGCTGCGATGCAGATGAGAATCCGCACTGAGGTGTGCCGTCCGACTGGTGCGTAGGTGAGATCGAAATCCACCATGTGTGTTTGTTCGAAGCCGCGGACCACCCATCGCGCCTTGTATTTGTCGATGGAGCCGTCCGCCAGCGTTTTGATGCGGAACACCCATTTTCCGCTGAGGATCTTTCTCCCCTTCGCAGATGTCCGGGGAACCAGCTTCCAAGTACCACGGTTCTTGAGCGACGCGATCTCCTTAGCCATGGCTGCCTTCCACTTCTCACTGTCGGGGCCGGATAGAGCCTGGCGAACAGTGGTGGGTTCCTTGGGGGAGGAGTGGCGAACAGCGACGGCGAGCCCAAGGATGCGGAGACCAGTTTCGTTGGTCTTTTCGTAGTGCAGGCGATCGTAGTTGTGGAAGCTGGTTACTTCGACCACGTCGTCGTCGCTCTCGTTGCCAGGGCGGATGGTGTCTTGCGAGGTGTTGGGCTGTGGTAACGCGGCATCTGGTGAGTGTCGGGCGGCGCTGTTGAAGTCATGGGCTTGGCGAGTTGTATCGTTAGGATCAGTTTGGTGTAGCGGAACGAAGGTTGGAGTCTGGAATGGGCTTGTAAGGGGGATGTTGGGTGCGCTGTCAAACTGAGTGACGTGTGCTGCAGCCTCGTCTTCCGCCTGGCAGCTTCATCGTGTGGAGTTGCGAAGCTGCGGTGTCCCTCGAAAACTCTTTCCGGTGCTGTGTCAGCTGCGCGGTGTTCGTTGAACAGTGGCAGAGTCAGCTTCTCGTAGAAGATGCAGTCACGTTATTTCGTCACTTCGTGTGTCGCGTAGTCCAACACGATCCACGCCTTGTATTCCTTTTCGATCCCGAGGTGGATGCCCCAGCGAGCTCGGTCAGTAAATTTTCCGGTCCGTGCTGTATGTGGCCTGTACTGTACCATGCACCCAAAAACCCGAAGCAGGCGCGTGTCTGCTTTTCTGCCCGTCCACGCTCTGTATGGAGAGTTGTTGTTCTCGAGACTTCGGGAGGACAGCAAGTTGTGCAGTCGGACTGCATGGTTCATGGCGAACGGCCAGTAATGTGTTGGGATGGCCGACTGCTTCATCAGAGCCCTCATCCTGGTGGCGAGGCTTCTGTTCGTCCGTTCTGCTACTCCTTGCTGCTTGTGAGCGTAGGGCAGGGACACCAGGTGTTCAATCCCTTTCTTTCGGAAGAGCTCCTTGAACTCGTCTGAGAAGAACTCCAGAGCTCCGTCCGTTTGCCAGC